GAATTAATGATTTCTCAATCCAACTGAATGTGCAGTTCGAAGGTCTTTATTCTCAGAGCAGTATTCCACACTGGCAAGCAGAACCTTCTGCCAAATGGCCTCCTGTCCTGTGAGGGCGAGTGGGAGGTTGATGCCATTCAGGGCCATCCAGTCGATCTCCTGCTGCCAGCGCTTCCAGCTCCACCACACAGCCGAGTAGCTTGGCGTACACACGTTTTGGTAATAGCGGAACCTGAAAGTGCACAAGCCCCGGGTTAGGGGTCAGGTTTATTTACATCAGGGTTCAGCCAATGTCCTGTTGCTATGGCTGCAAAAACGACATTTGGAGGACCAGGGAAAATGTCAGATGAGGTGCCCTGTGGCTCTTTCTGAGGTCCATGATGTCTTTTCTGATGCCACCTTAGATCCGAGGACTGGGGCAAACAGATCCACCTGCCCCCGAACTCGATCGGGTCATGTCAGCATCAGGCTAAATGCAGGACTATGCTCTCTTGGTGTTTTAATCGGGGTTAATGTCAGTAGGATGTGGCATTGTTTCTCCATCACCACATAACCGTGCAGGCTGGTGGGCGAGGTTTAAAGGATTAGATGTTCACTTGAGTGTTGGGGTTAGAGGCAGGGCAATATTCTGTTAACATTGTTCCTTTGAATAGGGATAGATTTAGGACTGGCCAAACACGCCTCTTCCCGTGAACACATCATAATTAGCGTAGTTGTGGAGAATATAACAAAATAAATAATCACATCTTCACGTGTCTGTCCCTCCACGTAAAATAAAGTCATTGTTTACACTTCCCATCAACCACAATGGCTTCTGAGAGTACACAATGTAAGCAACATTGTGGTTCAACACAAGCAAACCTTTTTTTAATCAATACTTTAGGACAATTATATGAATATATATTTAGTTTCTTCACGTTAATGTCAGTGTAATCATTAGATGCAGGTCCATGTCTTATATTGTCCTCTAAGCGGGTGTTTCAGGAGCAGTGTGCCAGGGTGAAATTTTCTCGATTTTGCACTCCTATTTGGATATTGTTTGATGCTGTAACTTGCCGACCCGAACACACGAGATATCTGTGAAAAACAGCTGCATAGCTCATCGGATTCCTCCAGGATAAATACACATTTTTAATCTAAAGGGGTAGGTCAGTGTCAGGGCCCTGAGGTGTGTCGGGATGAAGGGCAGGGCCAGTGTCAGAGTGAAGGGCAGGGTCAGTGTCTGGGTGAAGGGCAGGGTCAGGGTCAGAGCGAACGGCAGGGTCAGTGTCAAGAGGGAAGGGCAGTGTCAGAGTGAAGGGCAGGGCAGTGTCAGGGTGAAGGGCAGGGTAAGTGTGAAGGGCAGGGTAAGTGTGAAGGGCAGGGTCAGTGTGAAGGGCCAGGGTCAGAGTGAAGGGCAGGGTCAGAGTGAAGGGCAGGGTCAGAGTGAAGGGCAGCGTCAGAGTGAAGGGCAGGGTCAGAATCAGAGTGAAGGGCAGGGTCAGAGTGAAGGGCAGGGCCAGTGTCAGAGTGAAGGGCAGGGTCAGAGTGAAGGGCAGGGTCAGTGTCAGAGTGAAGGGCAGGGTCAGAGTGAAGGGCAGGGTCAGTGTCAGAGTGAAGGGCAGGGTCAGAGCGAAGGGCAGGATCAGAGTGAAGGGCAGTGTCAGAGTGAAGGGCAGGGGCAGTGTCAGAGTGAAGGGCAGGGCAGTGTCAGAGTGAAGGGCCAGGGTCACTGCCAGTCAGTCAGTGGCGGTGCTGTCCCCTCCCTCCTCCTCCCCCCGCTCGCCTGTTGGGGCTCTCGACGCGCACGAGGCCCGGCACCCGAGGCAGGGGCCTCTGCAGGCGAAGCTGCGCCCCGGACCACGACACGTGACAGCCGCAGTGGCGCTTCAGGAAGAAGTAGAAGCCCGAGGCGGCCGCCACGCCGCTGCTGCCCCGCACCTCGAGGCGGCCGTCGGCGCCGCTGTGCAGCTCGAAGGCACCGCCGGGTGCCGCGCGGGCCACGGCCGGGTCCACGGACACCGAGAATTCGCCCGACCGGCCCGGCAGCAGCCGCTCGATCAGCAGCTGCACGGCCCTAGACTGTGTGCGCGGCTCGGTGGGGGAGGACAGCCCGAACACCCCGGACCCCGAGCCCGACTGGCCCCCCGGAGAGCCGAACACGACCCCGAGCCGGCAGAGGAAGAGGAGAGGCCAAGCGAGCCCCGATAGGGCCACGCGGGACCGGGTGCCAGGGGGCCCGCCTCGGTCCGGCGGGGATCTCGAGCGGAGGCATGGGGACATCGCAGGGAGATGGGTGATGGAAGCCAAGATCATCCACCACCACCACTACCGTTGTCCCTCTGCTTCTCTCTCCTTCCGCGCACCCACCGTGTTCAGGGCGGAGCGAGTAGAGGAAACACGCACGCAGAACCGCCCTGAAAGCAATGCTGGGGGTGGGTGGGGTGGTCTCACTTAACATTTGGGGGCATGGCTGGTTTAAAACAATGCACAGACGTGTGTACAATGAGCACTTGCCACCGTCATGCAAAGAAACCACCGACATTTCACGAATAACTGCATTGTGAACTTCCGTGTGTTATTTGAAACGTATGCTTACCTGGCCTGCACTGGTTTATGATGGTTTGTTTCGTCATTTACAGATTTTATTATTGGGCATGGCTGTGTTACATGGGGGTGTGGGGGCATTGCTGGGATCAATTTAAATCTCAAAGGTAGGGCCGATTGGGATGTAATTGGGTCTAGGGGCATGGCTAGATTTAATAGTCATCAGATTATAACAGATCATAGCTAGGCTCCACGTGATGGCTAGGTTTACTCACGGGTCCATGGACGAAGTGGTGAATTCTGACTATCCAGCCCAGCGTTCTTCATTGCTCGGCCCGCAAGCCACTTGCGGCCTTTAGTGAGGCCCCTGGTGGCCTTCAGTGCGGCCCCTGGTGGCCTTTAGTGCGGCCCCTGGTGGCCTTCAGTGAGGCCCCTGGTGGCCTTTAGTGCGGCCCCTGGTGGCCTTTAGTGCGGTCCCTGGTGGCCTTTAGTGAGGCCCCTGGTGGCCTTCAGTGCGGCCCCTGGGGACCTTTATTGAGGCCTCTGGTGGCCTTTAGTGCGGCCCCTGGTGGCCTTTAGTGCGGTCCCTGGGGACCTTTATTGAGGCCCCTGGTGGCCTTTAGTGCGGCCCCTGGTGGCCTTTAGTGAGGCCCCTGGTGGCCTTTAGTGAGGCCCCTGGTGGCCTTTAGTGCGGCCCCTGGGGACCTTTAGTGAGGCCCCTGGTGGCCTTTAGTGAGGCCCCTGGGGAACTTTAGTGAGGCCCCTGGTGGCCTTTAGTGAGGCCCCTGGTGGCCTTTAGTGCGGTCCCTGGGGACCTTTATTGAGGCCCCTGGTGGCCTTTAGTGCGGCCCCTGGTGGCCTTCAGTGCGGCCCCTGGGGAACTTTAGTGAGGCCCCTGGTGGCCTTTAGTGCGGCCCCTGGGGACCTTTATTGAGGCCCCTGGTGGCCTTTAGTGCGGCCCCTGGTGGCCTTTAGTGCGGTCCCTGGTGGCCTTTAGTGAAGCCCCTGGTGGCCTTCAGTGCGGCCCCTGGGGACCTTTATTGAGGCCCCTGGTGGCCTTTAGTGAGGCCCCTGGTGGCCTTTAGTGAGGCCCCTGGTGGCCTTTAGTGCGGCCCCTGGTGGCCTTTAGTGAGGCCCCTGGAGGCCTTTATTGCGGCCCCCAACAATACACAAATGTGAAAACGCCTCATTATGCTGCAAAACCGAATGGTTTCAAATGTGTGGCGGCCCTCACACTGATGTCTTATCGGCGAAAATGCTCCCCCCTCGCCCCCTCTAAAAATTAGTGAAGAAAACTGGTCCAGCCCATAATACATGAATCGTAACTGTCCAGTCCTGATTAGCACGGTTGGCTAGGTACGGTGCGCGAAAGACGTTCAACATATACTCTACACAGGGTTTAAATTGACGGCTGTGTACGAAACACCACCTCTCACGAGTTTATAATTAACTTGCCATGTCTTAAAGATGTACTTCCTACAATGTTATCCACCTACACATTTTTATAAGGTACAGTATTTTAATGAGGACAATAGTAAAGTGTTTTTCATGTTTTTAAAAACGTTTTCTTTTTACCTTTTTTTCTCCGCTTGTGAATTATATTTTACAAGGCGGAGAACACTGATGGACAACTCTTGTAAGACACACCTGGGAAATGTTGATTTAAAAAACAAAAGACTGGCAACTTAGGAGAAATAAAAGGTTATGCAACCAAAGATGTGGTGTTAACGTGTTTCAACCAAAGCTCTATATAAACCCGTGCCACCAGTTGGCAAAATACAGGCCTAATTATGATATATCCCTCGTGGGGAATCTGCAGTAACACTTGCAAAAAAAAACCACATCCAACAATACATCTTCTCAGTAAATTCTAGATTTTAAAAGCCAAATTGTATATTACAGATAGTCCACAGTATTTTTTAATTGGAAGAAATATATAATTTTCAATTGGCTACCTCCATCACGTCAATGTAATGCACCCTCCAAAGTGGATTCATTTTAAAAGCAGAGAAAATAGGTAATGTAAAGCACTACTGCAAACATGAATTAAAATGTTTGATTAAAGTGTTGGGAAATAAATCAATACATTTCATGAATTAAAGCAATATAGAACTCTTATTACCCATGACCCTATTATCCGTGGCATGTTGGTTCCACAGAAACTACAATTATTCGTGGCATTCTATTTAGTGCAATTAGTTTTTCCCGTCCTGCTTTGCGGAATGGCTTCCGATTATCCACAGAATATATAGGGTTAATCAGCAAATTCATCCTATTATCTGCAATTATCCACGATTTCCCCCGCAGATAAGTAGTCAATTTACGGATTGCACAATGGATAATAGTGCATCCGATATTCGTCCCCACATCACCACGGATAAGAGGTGTTCGTGTTCTGTATTTGCAAAAGAGTGCACACCCGATGTATTGAACCCTTTTCCAGAAAATAATATGAAACACGCAAGACGCACGGGCTATGCAGAGTTTTACTTTATTGTATTCAAGTGGTGTACAGTGTTTTGATTGGACCATAGTGTTAGAAGGTGTGCAGTCCGGCACCTTTACTGCCGGGGTGGGAGGTGGGCCGATGGCACCACACAGCCCAGCCCTTTTGTGGAATGATGGGAAGCATTTTGCAGACAAAACACAACGAAAAGTATACTTCATTAAATAATACATCCAATAAAGCCCAATTTTGAAAGCAGGAAAAATGATGCCCCGGGCACGCACGCAGGGAGATATCTGAAAAGGTGTGTGAGACCACATGCTCAACGTTTCAAACATTTAGCAAAAACATTACACATTAAATGCAAAGAGATACTTTCTGTCGACGTTGTGAATTTTCTTCAACAGATCATGAATACAGATTAAAAGCTCTGTGACAATCTTGCAGAAATAAACTGTCATTCAAGGTGAATCGTAAGTTTTTACATGATTTACTGTGTCTCACTGGCAATTCTCAGATGATACACAACACATCAAACATAAACATACTCAAGCAGCAACAAGCTCTTGGGAGGTTTGCAACGTTGTGGCATGGCACTGCATTACAAAATAAGTTGTAAATAACTTTCATTCGATGTGTGTGAGCCACTCAGGCCTTTGTGCCAACATCAATTCTCAGAGCGAATCTGTGACCTATTCCATAGAGGTCAAGTTACTGCAACTACCGTACGAGAGAATAATACATTGCTAATGATGCTTGTGTTTTTCATTTGCAAAAGCAATTCAGATTATTTTTAACTCCACTCCGCTGCAGATTCATTTTTACCATTAATCAAAAAGAGCTTATATGCAACGTTTCAATTTAATCTCCTTAAACTGGAGACACGGTAAACGTGATACCTGCGAGGTGGAAGACCTCTAGAAATGTAATTAAACACGGTCCTCGTAGGCAGTGAGGTGTCCAGTACCAAAAGGGCCCGTGACACACGAAAACCATCCTCACCGCTCACTCCCACTTCTGACCAATTTTCTGAGTTATTTGCCACAGATGTTGCAACTGGCAAACCTACACTAATGCATTGGAAGACTGCACTCAAGAGATGCAGTAATGGAAAAAAGGCATGGGTTGTCGCTTTCCGATTTTCCTGCACGAATATGCACAAAAGAACCCATATCAACCGTGCTTTTAAATGCGGAAAAAAATTGGCAGGTGATAAATTACTCCCAAGAGCAAATTCTAAAATAACACATCAGTGAGCACGAGTGATGTCAGCAATGTGAGTTCCATATCAATATTGTTGTTTGCAACTACAACTTTGAAATGCATTACATGCCCAACACTATCTGTGTTTACATCCAGTATTATGTTCATTTTGCCATGGCAGCATTGTATAAAAACGTTTTACTGAACATCATAATGAACCATGCATAAAACTAAGACTTCCAAACACAGTCAATTAATTGCACCAAAGAATTACTGTGATTTTCCCATTTTTACTTTGCATTACAACGGTCAACTAGCACCACACAGCGGCAATGCAGAAACGAAACATTTACATTTTCGAGTATGAGACTGAAAGCAAAACAATACAAAACGACTTGAAGATACTATTTTCTAGGCACTTATTTTGTGTACCAACATTGGCAGTAGAGACATTTGTGCACCCACTCTGGCAGCAGAGACAAATCATTCTTCAGCAAAAGTCACTTATTGACATTATTTTGAAGTAGCACAAAGCATGCCTTTGCATGCCAACGAGAACGGCAGTGATCTTGGCTTGGTAGCCAATCTTCATTGAGTAAACACGCATTCCAATGGAAGGCCATGAGAAATAACAAGGCAGTGATCTCTGGTTTATGAAATTCTTTAGACACGTCGTTATCACGAGAAAAATCACAGGACTTAAATACCCCAAAAAGGCACCATTTCTACTTCTCCAACATTGTTACAACAAATTTAAGATTTTAAAATGTTTTTTTAAACACACGTGAGCAAGCAATAACAATTCCCATCAAAATGTTGATGATGACACAAGTTTTGAAACAAATTTTTTTTTGATTTTTGGTAATGACAGTTAAGACCGTTATCTTAAACCCTTTTGCGGCAGTGAGGCAACATATGAGTCGGGTCCCATGACGAGACCACTCTCTGGTTCGAAGGGTTCAAGTATGGCTGTTGATGCTGCATCCAAAAGGCCTGGTTACAGGCCAGAAAATATTGTGTCTCCACTGTGGTGCAGGTTGGAAACAACAAAAACCAACGTGTGAAGGAGCAAACGTGAACACATAAGGCAAACATGTCAAAGACATGCAATTACCATCATCACCCTGCGACTCTTGTTAGCTGGTGATTTTTAAAATATCACTACGCTTGTACAGAAGTTGCATAAACATACAGCCTGATTGTACACTCTTCTTCCGAGACAATGGGATAGTTAACGAACAGCTGAGCAGTGTACATTTACTGCGTTGGCTCCAATTCACGTTTAAACAACCTGCAGCTCAAGTTTAATCTAATGAGCATAGTATGCACAAACACAAAAGCAAACCCAGACCAAACCACCAAGGCCCTCCTCCTTCACCTCGATATGGAGGCAGTAATTCTGTGAGTAGAGCAGCGACTGTTACGGTTGAGCCTCTGCAGCGTTTATCACGGAGTCCGACCATCCGCTTACAATTACTGCAGTGTCATTCTGTACAAGAGCTCTAACACCTTTAGAGCTTACAAAAGTTGTTCCTGACAGTTCAATAGCAGCGTTAAGTGATTTTTTTTTACGTTTTATGTTTTGATGTACACAATAAATACCTCATCTCTAATATAAGCTTTTCCGTGTATTGAATTGGTTTGCTGTCTGCCCTGAAGTGTATAAGGTTTTGAATACCATTCCCTGTGTTCATGTGCATGTTAGATCAAATAAATAAGCCGGCAGTGGCTGGAGCAGCTACTTTGGTCCCTTTAGGTACGTTTGCGAGCGCTGTGCCGTTAGTTTTACCGTCTACATTGAGGAATTTGGTTTTTGCAGAACCGGGACGAAAAAAAAGATAACATTACAATTCCAGAGTCTGAAACGTACACACAGACTACTACGACATTTAATTGTGCAAATTAAACTGATCTTGTTGTTGTTGTTGTAGATAGCTGCCTGAAAGCACATGCAGGTTTTAGAAATGGTTTTCTAATTATCCAAGAATGGAAGTTAGTATGTTAGCACACAAAAACATCCCATTAGTTGCAGGTCGTAATATAGACACAGCGCATGTACTTATTAATCGGTTATAAAACCAACGGTAACATTAACAAAATGTCCTCTATAGTTTTGCATGCAATGATAAACCTGAACTGCATAGTAATGTACAGGTTCTACAATACCGCGATAGACAACCTGACAGGTGTCAGATTGAATGCTTCGAGTTTAACATTAGCACAGCAGTGCACGTACAATGCAATGCACAAGCAGCTGCTGGTGCGAATATTCATGCTACCCAAGAGCGCATCAGACTACACATTGACATTACGATCAGCTACATGGACAGCCTCTTAGGAACGGCCTGAGTACAGGGCACCAGGCCACCCTCCCTCATGTGACTGTGCTCCATGACCAACAGGCACTTGTTTTCTGACTTGCGCACAATCAAGTCAACCCCTCCGAGAGTCACTCCGGTCCAGAAATCAGCGGCCCAGTGCAGCAACAACTCCACGAAAAGAAACGGTGTTGGATGCACATCACAGGTTTCAAGTGACCCTGAGGAGGGACTCCCCCCACATCCTCATTTAATGCATAATTGACTTAGCAGAGACCATCAATGTTAATTGGAATTTAAATGGCACCTAGTTCAAAGGGCCAAAGGTATAATGGTGCGGTGCCACGACCATTGTAACCACTTTATGCTGTCCAGGTCACTATTCTGTAATGATTAACAGTGTGTAATACCAAGCGTAAATTTAAGGCAATTTAAACACCGACCTATTTGGTGTTTTAATTTTTTTCGTCTTGCCATTCTCACCAGTATCAGCCCAGTCTCAATAATAGGCAATACTGCAATAACGCAGAAGGCTGTCACCTCCACGTCTGCTGGCATTCAGGGAGAACAAATGCATAACATCTTTAGCCCAGGTCTCTGACATCAGCTGGAAGTGCAGCACTGGAGAAGCTGATTCAAATGCTCTACAAATTTAGCAAGGCACTTTAGCAAATGTATTGCCTGCTGAATCAAGATAAACTATGCAATGGAAGCAAAACTCACAGTGAATAATTGGTTTGATAATCAAGATTCATTAACTCCCAGGCAAGGCACAGATGGAGCTGCACATGCAAGCTCCTATTCTGGAAGCAAACGCACCCACGCTGGTTAGTAAGTGTTTTACCACAACATCAGTTCAGTGTGAACTTTTATATCCTTAAAAAAACGAATTGCAAGCCATATAAATCGCATATTTACTGTAAAAATAGTCTGTCAATTATATTAACGTCTGTACCCATGTGAGAGCGTGAAATTTAGGCCGACAACATCAAGATTGGGTCGGGTGGCAGAGTGGCTTGAGATGTCCTGACTGGCGGCGATTCCTGGTGGAGGAGTAACACTGCAAGCTCCTCCACTCTCAAAACTCCTCGCTTCTTTTTAAAGTTAACATTGATTGATCGTATTGTGTGAACTCAGTTACAATGCAACTGTGATGACATGGGAAATTTCTATGTTCAAAATAACGAGTAAAATTTGGGTTGAATTTTTAGTTTTTGGCACAACAAAGCAAAAAACGGTGGGTTTAATAAATCAGGAAAATGTTAAATTATTTAGCTTAATGATCAACAACACTTATCCAGTATACAAAAATACAACTCCTGAATAAGTCAGTTTTTACAGTTGGCTTCAATCCCAGACAGACAGCTGACATGGCAGTGAAAGCTTGTCGGGGTAATTTATTGATAAAGCGACATTTTATGAATGTGCCTGTGTGTGACATTCGGGAAGCATTTTCCAGGCAAGTGCGAGCAAAATAACCCTGCTCTTCAATTGGATCGATCCTGAAAGGGAAAATCTATAAAAACTCCTACAAACATCACCTTCTCTTCCTCCCAAACACATTCCACTATGACCCTATAACGTAATATTATTCAAGTAACAAAACTCTCATTTTTACACATGTGATCTATGCTGGTCAACTTTTTTCAGACTATTTATGCGCGTTCAACGCGGATGTATATGAATAGCCAGGTACGTGTGTCAACTATGCAAACTATGCCCACCATGCCGTCTTCAGACCAATCAAAAATGCATTGGCCTTGCCCCTCACCTGCTCTTCATGAATGTAACAATGCCATGAATGGCCGAGTAACCCACCAACTAAAAAAATTATGATGCACCCCCCCCCCCCTACCACTATCTCTGTTGACCTTGAAAGTAGGCAGATGCCCAGGTTGGACGGTCACTTCACGATGCAGCAAACACAAAGAAGCAGCAGCAGCAGCTGAGGCCTCCAAGAGAGGAGTGCATTATTGCGAGAAGTCCCACTATGATGAGTTTGCCAGCTGCCACCTTGGCACGCAACACTCACACAGAAGGGGGAAAAGTGGACACTTCTGCTCAGGCCCTCAACAGGGCACACGTGGCAGGGCAGAGTGTAGGAAGAATTTGCCTGTGTTGCTCCCGGGCAACCCTGCTAGTCACAGCTGATACATCCTCAACACCTTCTCCATACATTACATCGTCTGAAACACTGTGTTGAATTACACTGCAGTCACACACAGCCACTCCCTAACGACTTACACATTTGGAATATTTTTTTGTTCTCACAATTCTCCCTCTTTCGTGGTTTAAAGGCGACGCAATTGTAAAAATAAATTACTTGATACAAGGAAATAATTTAACCACAACCGCGCCTTTTTGCCTGTGCTTTCAGAACCAAAAGCGAGCCTCTAAGCCTATATCTTTGTCAAAAGAATGAGCAGTCATCCCAAAAAGGAATGCCATTTGTCACTCAAAGTTGGCCCTATATTGATGGAATTTTGCTTTATCACTAAAGAAAAGGTGTGGGTTCAATGCGTTATATTTAGAAAAATACATAGCTACACATTCGCTGTGGTTAGAGATCTCACCGAGATCTGAATTTGCACAAACTTTGTGTGAATTTAAGTCGTTCGAATTATAGTTATCGCCATTACCGACGCTTCCATCAAACTCCCAGCAGAGGTCGCTGCTCTTCCATGGCTGCTCGTGCACAGTCCTCACCAGCCAAGGTGACGATGGCTCCCTGTAGAGGACGATTCATCCAGAGAGGGGTGGTCCTTCTCCTCTGAGTTTTGCTTTTGAAACAGCAGCGCTGACGTCCCCACAGCCTCTGCCAGCTCCACATGACACGACCACCGCAGCTGGCAGGCGAGCAGCTCATGCCCTCCCCCCACCCCGCACCAAAACCTCCCCAGCCCACTGGCTCACCTGCACGCACCCTTCACACTCCCGTCCCCTACCGCGGGTCGGGAGGGGTGCGAGGTTCAGGAGGGCGGCGCACTCTCCGCCTGCCGCTCGGCACGGCGCAGCGGAGGGGCCGGGAGGTGAGCGCCCTCGCACTCGGCCTCGCCTGCATCGGAGAAGTACGGCTGCTGGAGAGCGCTCAACGCAGAGATGCGCTTGCTCGGGTTGAAGGTGAGCAATTTCTACAGGAAGCATGGTGCACAAAGGGGAGAGAGAGAGATAGGATGCGGTCATTGTGGTCAGCGATGGTGTTGCGATACCAAGTGAAACGTTTGTGAGAGTGCTAAATAAAAATAGGAGGCATGTAACAATTCTGACGTTTAGCATACACGGATGGAATCATTGATGTGAGAATTTATGATTTACAATGATTGCAAATTACGTGCGATTTACATGCTCTTAGTTTTAGGCTAATGGGACAATTAAAACTGTCCAAATGAGACCAAAAAAACGAGGAACAAATGTAACGGTAAACATTTTCCCAAATAATTATTCATTTAATTGTAACCCTGTTTCAATTAATCCAAACTCTGGAGGGTTGAATCACTAAAGGCTACAAAATAAAGTAACAAGTGTTTAAAAATGTTTTATTTCCTGGCAAGTATGGCTTGATAATCTTTGGGCCAACTCAACTTTCAGAAGTATTTCAGGTATTCCACAATATGGGAGATATGGACATGTTTCATGAAGCGATATAAAAACTACGGATGAGGAGACCACAGATCTACAAAGACATCGAGGATTAAAAGTGCACCACTAGCACAGGAAGACTTGCAAGTGTGAGGGTCCAAATTTGACAAGTTCTATCATTTCCTCCAAATTAGTGGCAGTCTCGTGCACCAAGTCACTCTCGCAAATTACACTTCTCTTGGTCTCTTAAGCTCTCACCTGGTTTAAGAAATTAAACTTAAAACTTGAAACACTGGGTAACACTAAGCAAACCGTCATTGTACGAAAATACAACAAGAACAAGGATGTGTATACACGTAGGCGCTGGTTTTCTGCACAGATCACAAAAGATGGCATGAAATAAAACGTAAAATTACGCTAGATCTACTGTTGTTATCTTAGTGCTGGATGTGCTAAACGGAAGTGCTGGCGCTGTGATGAGAAGTGGGAATGTAGCGCCGCCGGGGTAGAACAAGCCCCTCTCACCAGCAGCAGCTCCTCCCCCAATGGGCCCATCTCTGGCACAACGTTTTTGAGTGCCTGTGGGGGGCGGTAGGCAAAGGAAGTGTACGGCAGCGACACGTCCTGCGGCCAGTCGTCCCGGTTTGGCAGGCCCAGTAGACTGCACACCATAGAAGCGGCAGCAGCATTAATGTCGGAATACATTTTCAACATTGCCATCAGCATCGACGTCAGCACCATCACAATCAGCGTCGTCATTCGAATCAGCATCATAATCAACGTCAATTATTCGTGCCACAATCTGCCTAAGTATAACATTTCAACATGACCACCTGCGGCAACAGCCTTTCCATAAGCATCATCATCAGCATCAATTTTCAACGTGACTATCAGCATCATCGGCATTAGCATCAGGGTCTGCATGTGCATCAGCAGCACCAGCATCTTATGTTGCTTGAACAGTAGTCAGAGACAAAGGGGCATCTAAGCTTATTTGATATTTATAGAGTAACCTTAACATAATTACAAAAAAAACGGTATAAACAAATAAATTATTTCGATGGATAGGGGCGTGCAAGGGATGAGGAATGGGTGATCATGGTAAAGGATAATTAGGGGGTGAGGAAAGAGTAGGGGAGGGAAGAGAATAGGCGATGGAGGTAAATATGCAGCATGGGTATGGAAGAGCAACATACTCTAGCTGGGAAGATACAATTGGTATGATGTCACATATCATGTCACAGAGTGACGGGGATTCATCTCAAAGAGCACAGGGACACGCACGGCGTCCTGTTCTTGTCTGCCAATGCCATGACCGTTGCTTGTCTTCCAATGAACACATTCCTGCGGAGGGAGCTGGTAGGAACGTTGGGTTGCTCGGTCAATGGCCAGGGTCAACGGCGGCGTGGTGTATTCCGCAATATGGCCGACTGTGAGGGCGGGCACAAGCCCCACCCCTCCCACCCAGCCCCACCCTCCCCACCCAGCCCCTCCCCACCCAGCCCCTCCCCTCCCAGCCCCTCCCCTCCCCACCCAGCCCCTCCCCACCCAGCCCCTCCCTGCACGACAGACACAATAATCCCCTGTGGGCTGGTGTAACCAGGAGGTTCCTACCAGTAACAGCCACTTCTATGGGTCCTTTTAAATTCCATTGACTTGGCTCGCGATGTGGAGAAGTAGTCATTTACATTCCAATGATACCCCTTTGAATTGGTGTCAAAGTGGCCACATTTGCTGGCTGTTCATTCACCTGCTTACGTTTCAGATACTGTACTTGAGTTGATGTATTTTGAACTGATGCACAAATAAGACACGACAGTTCACCTTCATAAATTGCAATTCCTTACCAAGCTGCACAGAACACAATTCACATTCTGCTGCTGTGTTTTCATTTCCAGTTAAAATGCACGTTGCAAGAAGATGAATGCGCATTGACCCTTTTTGAGGAGAGCTGCTCGACTGTATACATGCATTCGCATTCAAGTGGAACACGCATGGTACCTGTGCTACTCAGGCACCACATTGCTTCCTGTGCTCCGGTGTGGAGAAGCGAAGCAGTGGGTGAAGTGCATGGTTGAAACCAACACGATAACTCAAGGCATTTCCGTTGTCAAAACAATTCTAGAAACATTATCATTTTTGGCAACTGGGCTTGTCACGATCGAATCCTACTTGTCAAATGGGATGGATGCTGCAAATGCCCCCAGGGTGGTTCAGGCCACATTAGTCAGGTCGTGGTTTCTATTTTAAGTTTATAATGGAAGTTGCTTGTCCAACAGTTTTGCACTCATCAGCTGGGGCAGGAAAGGGCCAGTTAAACAACCCAGGAAAGGAGCAAAGGTCACAACCTCTAACCTCATACCCCCACTCGCCCCGCGTGTGCATTTCCCAGAACTCTCGCAGGCAAGCGGTCAACTCTGCAATTGGTTCATGGGCTTCGACACGTTGACCAATCAGGGCCGGTCCCATTCGTGGGGCACACCTCGCTCACAGGTCACAAGCGGGAGGAAGCTGCGGAAATGAAGGTCAATCTGCTGGACTCCACCTCCACTCGTGGACACCCGTAAAGCAGTAATGGAGCCGTTAATCTCTCCCGAGGAAGGCGCGTCCCGTTTAGAGGGAATTATCGGGCAGCAAGAATGTGAAGCAGGAGTTTACTCCCAAGTCACAACAGTGATCCAGAAACTGATTGGTTGAATGCACACACAGGCAGATGATGTTAAGTGACATTAAACTCACGTGTATCTCCACAAGTATATCTCGCTTCCATTATGGTCACTTTTATATGACAGAATATAACATATCCCGTGCTTAACATTACATTATTAATTGAGCAGCTGGTGAGGATATATATTTAAAAAATAAGTTTGTACCTAAGACTTTTAGATTCAAATAATGGCAGGCGGAGCAGTGGTATAGTGGTGAGTGTACCGTGGTATGAACCCCACAACCCGAGTTCAAATCCTAGCCAAGGCTAACATAATCTATGAGTGATATTAAAACCGTTTACTGGGTACTGGCATCTCTTCCCCACCCCCTTCACCAAACCACACTGACCAGCGTGGTGAAGTATGATAACAAAAAACCAACATGGGTGACACGGTGTGAGGAGGCCTTCATCTTTTGGTGGATTGAAAAAAGGGCTGGAATTTAATAAGATGCCAGCAATTGGCTTTTTTCCTGCTGAATGCTTCTGAAGTTTTATAGTGCTCTATTCATGAATGGAACAGACCACGCTGAACTTGATGTGAGAGCTGCTCATGCCTGACGTGGGGGAACGGAGGATTGCGTATGCACACAGGTACCAACGTGTTGACATGAGAGAGGAAGTCCAAGGTGAAAGAAACATAAAAACTAGGACAAAACCTGTGAGTCTCCCCCCTCCACGCTTGCAAAGGCAGGAAGTCGCGAGGGCTCGTAGATAAGCGTAGTTAACCCGCAACGGACACTTTTCCACCACCACCCAGGCCACACCTCCCCAGTGCTGCGCTCTCGCTGCCCCTGCCTCATCCCTGCCTTCCCTCCCGCACATGCATGGCCGCAGTGGCGGCGGCGCCATCACATGTGCTTGTGCTGTGACTCGGTTGTGCGGAATGCACTCAATCCTTCGGTTGTGAACAATGATATGGATGTTGATTGCTTCAAGTATTGTCCAGGCAACAATGGAAAAATAACAAAATGCTGTTGAAATAATGTGTTTTTTTCTTTTAACGAAACAATACTTACTCAAAAATCTTTGTCAGCTGATCAAAATCGGAGCTTCCGCAGAAGAGAGGCCTGTGAAGAAAAATGAGACACTTACTATAAACAGTGTCTCGGCTCCGAAAAACCAGGCTGCAGTCCAAGCCGTTAAAAAAGTGGAACTTTTTCAAGTAATAATTTAATGGGGAGAGGTGGCATAGTGATTAGTGCACTATGGACCCAACAACCTAAGTTTGACTGCCAGCTATAGCTAACATCTGTGGTGTGCAATATTTAGACTGCTTCAGGGCCTTCCTCCATGTGAATAACCAGCCCTGCCGGGCCTGTGCTCATGGTATGTGCGGCGAGGTGGGTGGTTCGTGGCAAAGATACCTGCGTCTGAACATCTCGGCAAAGATGCAGCCAACGCTCCACAGGTCAACGGTGGTGGCATAGCTCGACTGCAGCAGGACCTCCGGGGCACGGTACCACAGCGTGACCACCTGCAGCCCATGCCGCACATGCACACACAAGCACACAAGCGCACACACGCATGCACCGTTATAAGAGTCCTTGGACATTACAGCAGTCACCGCAGGGACGGGAAGCACCTCCCACGCTTTCCACATCCGCCAGTCCGCTCCGTCCACCTGTAGACATTGTCTAACGCCTTAGAAACACCCAACGGTCACGATCAGTAGACCCAAAAGAGGAGGCCACATCTGGGCACATAATGTGGCAATGAAAAGGGGTCATGCTGCATTGTCAATACCACTAACATCCCCGTTACCATGTAGCCATGTATGTATGTTAAACTGCTTTCGCATCGTACGTCGTCAACCGTGATAAACGGAGGTGTGGGTGAAGGACAGTCTGTCACAACCATCACCACCACCATCCTGTCCATCTTGTGTGTTGCACCCACCACAGTGAAACGTGGTAAATCGTGATAGTTGTATTCAAAATCAAGACGTCACCAGAGCCAAAACTGTTGATGCCACCTATGCGTCGGCAACGCTTTCGACCTTCCGTCAGATTCCGCAGTTACTGCACAGTAGACACGTAACCTCCAAAATCTGTTCCCCACAGTATCCCACCATCGGGTCTTAGGTCTTCCCCTTGACTTAAAACTAAATCAAGCAATCAGAGGAGTCTCAGATTTGTGGTACGTATGTCAAGTCAGCAGAGGGCCACAAGCTACGTGGTATAAATAGGCCTGTTGCTGAGCAAAATCCTCCCATGAGTCACAGCGAGAAACGCAGCTTTGGCACTGGTGCCGATAAGAGGTTAAGCGTGTCATTGTGCGGTGGTCAAGGCGGCTTGTGGCCGGCCTTGCTGTTGACTCGGCAAAATTGACCTCAATCGGAAAAGCTTGCCTTCTCATGCCGGGCCTAGGCAGCAATCGCTGCCATTCACATTTCCATTGCCACACTTCTGCCCTTCGATGACTGATTTGATGATTCAGAAATGCATTCAAAATATATTTTTTACTTAATGTGTAACAAATTAAAGAACCAATGGATGGATGCATAGCTTTTCTCTTGGCTAAGCAACTTGCAGAGCTTCTGTGATGCTGCTAACAGGTTTTGATGGTTTTCTTTGTAAATTTTCTGAACGGTAAACATTAACACCACTCAATGTGATGTGAACATTTCACACCAGTGTGCAAGTGAGTATGGACATTGGAATAGTTTCTCTTTACTAGAGTTCACGAGTTTACCGCATAAACATTCTCTGAACATTAAATGAGCAAAAGAAAAACACCCATGGCAGCTCACAAAAACACAATGTGAAAGTTACACACGAGTCAAAATCCAGTGTTAAATAAATTGCTGAAGGGAATTTCCTGCCGGAGAAACAAAGGACACAGTTTGTGCAAATGCGCTCACACACCTAGTGCTCTCACTGGTATACTGCTGCCAATTTAACTGTTCAGACCAAAGGAGAAATTCATCTCTTTTTTGGATGCGATGTTCAGAAACGGCGCACAGGACTTCCTGTTGGAAGTGTGAGTGGCACGCATCTTGGCCAACTCAGCCGCATTTGCAATCCTAGGTTTCACAAAACCATTAAGCCAACAGCCGTGACAGTATCTTGACATTATCTGGCACAGTGACACTCACACTGTCATGCCTCATCACTGCCAGGGGGATTTTTTTCTCTCCTGACTTTTGAAGACTGTCATTTAGATAATTTGTGCAATTCAACAATACACTAAAGTAAAAAAAAACTCATCTGTGAAGCATTAAGACTTTGTGAACACTATCAAGAAAATAAAGTTGTTAGACCCTTTACACTTTGAAACAGAGGCAGCTCATAGTGGTAAGCCAGAATGTTGAAATGTATCTGCTGAAATTAATGCTGTTAATAAAGCAAATTGCTCAACAACGGGGCGTTTGGCGGTGGCTACACGATTCGGCCTCTTTATGCCGAAGGCTTCTCCGCTCCGCGCCCCAGGCCGCCTGCACTGTGGTCACTGCTGCTGCGCTCGCTTTCAAAGAAAACCGGTAGTGGCCCCGGCCGGGCGAGGCACAGTCGACCGCGGCGGAAGCTGCAGCCCTAGGCCACCACTCGCAGGGAACATCCTGACAATTATCGGTCGCAACACGCGCGGCATCGCACGCTCGCTCGCGGCGCCGATATCACGACGCCAGAACCCACAACGTTGCAAACCCCAACCAATCCGTTCCTCTGCAGCCACCAGTGCTTCAACCGAAGAGGCTTTCTCAGAAATCCCACAAACGTGGCAACAAGCCACCCCAGCACTCTCCCACCCGGCATGGTCTTAACGAGAAAACGGGACTCCCTAGAGACCGCAGTTACAATGCATGGGATCTAAACGCTACCTTGTTGCACGACCATATATACAATACCGCAGGAGCCAATCATGCACCAGCTGTGGCCTCGTGTAACCTTCACAAATATAGATATGTCAATCAAGCAGCAGTGAACAGAATAAACACTAAAAGCAGTCTCTGATTCATACACAATCTGTACTGTATGATGGTGATTGTCATAATTTTTTCATTGTTCAGTAGATAGTTAATGCTTTCCAGATAAAGGCCTCGACGTGCTATTGCCTGCAGTCATGCATTCCCTCCGCATCGGCATGAGCTCTACCATCTAGGATTCCCACTCAGCCCTGTGCGATCTGGAGCATCGGCCTCATGTCTCTGCTGTAGCATCTCTGCTTTGCCAGATAGCCTGCGCACACATGCCTCCCTGCACAAGAGGAAGATCACCACTACAGGAGTACTGTCATTGGCTTTTACGGTCGATCCAGCAATATTGGCCGATGAATCATCGCTTATCGTGTCATGCCACCGAGTGGCCGCCCCCTGATGCAGTTATCCTGGGTTAGTCACGAGTACAGGTTTTGTACGACCCATAACTACGCCCCCATCACTGCCAAACCACCACTGATGGAACTAAGCACAGGCTCCTTTTGAGTAGAGAGGCGAATGGCCTCTGTGCTCAAAATAACAGTTTCTGCATTTCATTTCTCAGTATTTTCTTTCGATTCCATATAATTCAGTTCCGGGCCAAGAAAACCGCAGCGTATTTTTGCAATGAGTGGTGCATCGGGTGGCAGAGCCGGGTTGGGGCTGAGTACGATCATCGCCTGTTCCCTTCCCCCACCCTCCCCACTTACTGTGCAAACACCATCGCATCCGGCGTGCACCAGCTGGCTGCGTGGATGGAGGCCCCACGCGAGCTCCAGCTCAAAGGGCGGAAACGGAGCAGCGGCTCTTGAGTGCATGACTCATAGCCAGGACCACGCGGCTCCGGCTGCCAGAATGGGACCCATGATCTTCACCCCGCAGCACCGCGGCATCGCACACACCGCACAGCGCTTGGCGGAACAGCACGCGTGCCGTCACGAGCGATATTGGCAACAGCGAATACTCGATTTTTATTCGTGCTAACAACGTATTGTCCACTATCGCTGAGAACGTTGGCTTTGCTCATAACCAATTACTGGGGAATGAAGAGAAAATGTTGGATTAAGCAATACATTCGCTGAAATTCAGCACACTAAATCGGGTATGTATCTGTTGCAACTTATTCTTTGTACAAATTGTTCCATCTTAATTATCATGCAGGCACATAATTATCATTCAACATTGCTAAACGTAGCGGGCTGTGCCCCCATAATAGAACAATTAAATAACCACAGATGATTTTCATTGTCATGATTACGCTTTGCTATTTCAAGAGGATGCAAACTTTTTCCACAAAATTGAATGAGCTGCAGCTCAATGTAACCATAATTCCGAAGCGATCACCTACCATACTTAAAAGTGAGTTCGCACGAGTAGTGATGCAGTAGAACAGAAGGTTCCCTCTAAAGGGCAGAGAGGCGCTCAGCGACACCGGCTAAGGAGCTGCGCTGCTCACATGGGCAGCTTGCCCGGGCAGGCTCCGCACTCGGCACCCACCGCCTCCATCACCGCCAACGCATTGAAGCCTTCACGTTGAAACGTCTGCTACGGCAGAGCTCTGCCTGCGCCTGTTGCTGCCGCCACTGCCTCCGCCACTATTGCCGCCGCCGCCGCCGCCGCCCCTCACTGGTTGCGTACCGATCGCGATTGCCGTGAGTACCGCACGGCATGGCTGCCCGGCGCGCAAACGCTCCCCACTCCTCCCCATCGCAACTCGTGCTCAGGATGCGCCGTTCCGGGGATCACCTTCCATTAGTTTCCGCTAAAATCTTCGACGTGACTGCCGCAGCCACCATCGCCCACCTGCGACGTTCCTAAGAGCGACGTGCACGGTAACATCCTCGCGGTGACATCCTCGCGGTGACATCTTCGCGGTAACATCCACACGGTAACATCCACACGATAACTGGGTAGCGGTAACATCCATGCCGCGGCGGGCTTCTGGTAGTATCCACGAGGACCTAAGCCGCAGTTCGCCATTCACGGCGCACAATGAGAATTGGCGTCGCGATCCGGGACTACTTGTACGCCGAAGTGCGTAAATGCGTGGTCCCGTCCTATTGGCCTGACCCGTAAATACGATGGCGCCTTGCATTATTATTCGTCGAAAAAGGCTCCCACGCGAGTCGTTTCTACACCAATCTTAACCGAGCCAAGCCGCCCGCCTGAATGTCCTATTAGGGCAAGGGATGCGACCGGGACCTGTTAGCGATGCACTTACCTAGGGTGATGCATTGATAGATAATCTACCATTTTATAATCAAATTCTTACTTTTTTCTTAACAGGTGAGTGAATATTCTTGGTTCTTTCGGTAAAGTCACGTAGAAGGGAAACAATGAAATAATAAAAACAATACAATTCTCATGACGTTTCCACTGCAACACAAGCAATCTTCATCAGGTGTGAAAAACACAGCAAGAACATTTGAAAAAAGTGGCACTTTTTTCAAATTTTGGCACTTTTTTCAAATTTTCTTGCTGTGTTTTTCACACCTGATAATGATTGCTTGTGTTGCAGTCGAAACGTCGTGAGAATTTTATTGTTTTATATTTTTAATATTACATTTTTTCCCTTCTACATGACTTTACCGAAAGAACCAAGAATATGAATCCCTGCAGTCACGAAAGCTTTAAATCAGGTGAGTCAATATTGCGAATGTGATGGCTCCGTATCTTACAGAAAAACAGAGGAAGATGGTAGCAATGATGAAGATTCAAACATCTGTGCCTCACCCTACAAATGCACTGTGTCTATTCCAGGAAAAAATGTGGGGCATACACCGACGCAAAAGAAAACTATACAAATTCCGTAACACCGGTTCAATTAAAAACGTGACACTAAAAACAGAGTAAAAACCCTAATGACTGAGAATGTGATGCTTGCAGGAGGCCATACTTAGCAACCCTCAATCACTATCTATAACTGTCTAATTTTCCCATATTATTTAAGTGGAGTATCTATAAATGGATCACCCTGTATTAATGTCAACTGGTTCTTCACCTGCTGCTCAGTGCAGATTGGTGAAGGAGGAGCCCAAGACTAATTCTTATATTATTTGCCAACTCGATATCGTACATTTAAGAAATGTTATTTTATGAAAACATTTAAATAGTTTAAACCATGTCAAATGATAAAAAGAACATCAAACACCGGGAGGTTTTTCAGATTTTTTTTCTGTTGAATTCAATCAAAGTCACATGATACTTTGTGCTACATACACTGGCTGTACAAGTCGGCAGATGTTTTACTTTGGGGTTTTTTAGATGTTTAAAAATTGCATCAATGCAGGGCCCACAAAATGCAAAAAATATTATAACGTCCTTACTAGGTTTTACGTTGATAACAACTTGCCCAGATTGCGCTGGTAGCTTAAATTATTACTGCATCCAACAGGAATACTTGAAAATGAAAAGACATTGTTTTTCTTTAATATGTTACATCAATCCCTCAAGCTGATCATCCCCGACTCAGCTCAATATCAAACACATTGACAGTCCATCCACCTTCACCACGATCACACAACTCCTCTCTACACTGGCACGTGACACAGGTTTAACTGAGAAGGCCAAGATGACAGAAGATGTCCTCGGCACAGCTTGGCTACAACACAATTCACAACAGAGTCTGGCTGGACAAGTTCCTGGGTTCCAAATCGTCACGACAGTGGACCAGCGTGTGCTGCACTGGCTGTGAAACTTGCCGATGTGCACATGCTGGATACTTCAAGACAAATTAATCACTTACCGTCCACGTCTAGCACCTGTTCTCCAATAATAAAAGTGCATAACTGGAACCGAATGACAACAAGCACAAGCGCGATTCTCTCGCAATGTTTAGCAGGTGGAAAACTGACTGCCAACGCAATGTCAGCAGAGAATTGGCCGCAGGTGAAAAAGGCAATAGATAATAATTGAAGAGCGGCAGGCAGATAGAGAGGTGGCGAAGAGAAGCAGCAACAAACATGCAAGGAGTAACTCAAAAGATTAAGGGAAACACAAAGGTGAGGAGTGGCAGGTAAAGGGAGTCAGGTGAGCGATGAGCAGCAAGTGAAGGGCGATGGACGGGCGAGAAGCGTGGAGTGAACAGGCTGGGGGGGGGGGGCAGGTCTACGCACACACACACACACGTGCGCACCGTCCTTCCCTGCGTCACACACAGGAAGAGCCTTCAGGCAAGGTTAGGTCTCAGCTGGGTTAGACCAAACAGTTTTCATGCCCCTCAAGGATAATTACCAGACTTTGACTTTTATTGCAAATAAGCCAAGCATTTGTACTGTTTGTGGTGCTTCAATGTAAAGGTTCCCTAAGCGCCTATCTCCTGGTTTGCTTCCATGTTCTCGTTGCCTGAACGTTTGTGTTGTTTAACCTAAGGCACTGGGCAATCCACCCCTAAATATGTACTGGGACTTGGCGAAGCTCTTTTGATAAAACGAGTAAGGGACAATTCTAGATTTTAAGCTTTCGTGACTGCAAGGATTCATACTCTTAGTTCTTTCGGTAAAGTCACGTAGGTAAAAAATTTAATTAAAATTAATATTATTATAATTTTATTTTTATTAATTTTAATTTCATTTTTTACCTACGTGACTTTACCGAAAGAACTAAGAGTAAGGAACATTATTGTCATTCAAATGGAAACAGTGGCGCAGTGGTAAGTGCCCCGCGCTAGGATCCCGACGACTTAAGTTAAATTCCCCACCACAGTTAACATCGGCAGCAACTAACAATCGAACCGCTCCTGCCTTCCTCAACCCCCTTTTCACCAACAACCTGTACCGACCAGCATGGTGAAGCATGGTAAAAAATAAATATATTACCAACATAGCCTGGGGATGTCTTCATCCAGCAGTGGATTGAGGTTTGGTTTAAAAATGTTTACTATATATGAAAGAAACCAAATAAGGCTGAGCACATTCTAGATTTAAAGTTTTCGTGACTGCAAGGATCCATACTCTTTGGTTCTTTCGGTAAAGTCACGTAGGTGAAAAAATAAGAATAAAATTTGAAATAATCAAATTAAATCACGACGTTTCGGAAGCAACACAAGCTTCTGTCATTAGGTGTTTCTTACTATGGTTGTCCCCACATGATGACGGAAGCTTGTGTTGCTTCCGAAACGTCGTGATTTAATTTGATTATTTTTATTTTTTTTCACCTACATGACTTTACCGAAAGAACCAAAGAGTAAGGCTGAGCTTGTAATGCAGTGCACAAGCGCTGCATTGTCAGCACCAGCCGGGCACCTACCCCCTTTGCGCCGTCATGTGCCTCAGCAAGGACTCTGCATCTTCACCCCACTCTGCCTGGTGCTCATTCACAGATGCAAAGTGCCCTCGAGCGGTGCGTTGGAAATGCAGATGTTCCATCGTTACACTATATTTTAGTTGCTATAAAAATAAATTTCCTCAACGAGCCGTCTGTTTTGAGTTACTGTTGAATGTGATGCACATTAACCCACTTTACTGTACCACTTCCTGGAGCTCATTGTTATTAAGTCACTGATTTGTGTCTTGATTTAAGTGCCAAGTTAACCCCTCTGCCATCACTGCATGTTTAATTTAATGTTGCACATTGAGGTGAGGAAACACTCAGAACGACAGCATTGGATTGACACCGTTGCTCGTGATCATCACATAGTTATCTGAATTCCTGCAGCGCAGCCACGCTAGAAATCTCTCGTGGAGCTCATCATGGGACCTTCGGCGCCGAGTAGTGGATCGAGATGACTGGCTTCCCTGAAGGTTTGCAGGTTTTAAGTTACTGTGCTCCCCCGAACAGTGCCCGGGGGCCAGCAGTTGGTTTAAAATGGTAAAGCTTGAGAAGTAGAGATGAGCCGTAACTTTTCAAAGAATAAAAAAATCTGTTGGCATCTTTCACATTTAAAAATGAAAAGTGGTGGATTATTTTTAACGGCAAGTTGGACAAAGAGAGATTTTATAGCAACTCTCGGACCGAAATGCACTGATGAACAGGAGATACATCTGTGCGAGCATTGCGTAAAGCCACACTTTGACCACACAGCAAACAGTTTGAGACTTGGCACGGGAGACGGGGAAAGCGTCTGGGCCCAAAACTCAAAGCTCAAGTAATTTGTGTTGTTTGCAAAAGGCAAGATTTACATTTTCGCACGGACCAAAAAATAATGCGCCATTGCCATAAAAAGAAAACGATCTGGGCGCTTTTATGGTGTCAACGAACAAGGCACAATTTGCCGGCTCGAGGCCATTAGCTCCACTTGCATCTGTAGGTGTCGCGGTGCCAGCGGGCGGTGAATAAGCCTCCATTCACTCATCGCCAAGGGCTCCGGGCCATTTCTTGGTTCATCACCCTAACATAATCTCAACAGCTGTACCGAAATCATGTAAACAAGGGCGCTTAACAAAAGAGATGCTCCAGGACAAAAATTTGTACAACTGTTATACATGTCCTGTAATTATATAATTACAGCCCTTTGTCAGTTCACTGTTAAATTGCTGGATTAAGTCATCCCAATGCCACATCAGTCATGGGTGTTCATTGACCATACTTCACCACGTTGGGCAGTGCGGGTTGGTGAATAGGAGGTGCTCAGTAAACACTCACCACTGATGTTACCAGTGGCCAAAAATAGGACTCAGGCGGCTAGGTTTATAGCTCAGTGTGTGAATCGCTGCACTCTATTTGGAATAACACTGCTTAGGACTCACAAAGCTGAACGTGATCAGTCGGCATCAAGTTATAAATATCACCAAGATGAAAGATCTCCATATTTTGGCCAACTAGCCTTTGAGCGTCTTTTTACTGATCCCTCAACTATTAAAACCATTATCTTTAAATACACATTGTTTTAGCTACATTCATTTTGTTTTGAATGTAAGTTTCAAACTCGTAGCAGAAACATATTTCCATCAACTGATGGAGATGAGCCGTCATCACTGTTCATTTTATCTAGGAGACGCTTTCACTTTAAAGCATTGCAATATCTAAAGAGTGAACGTGCAAACACATCTGCCTTACCACCGAGGTAAGAGCCATCTGGAAGCTGTAGATGCGCGCGAGGCCAAAGTCAGCGAGCTTGACCTGCCCGTCGCTCGTCACGAGGATGTTCTGGGGCTTGAGGTCGCGGTGCACCACGCGGTGAGTGTGCAGGAAGTCCAGCCCGTTCAGCAGCTGGTGCATCATATCCTGGCCACCACAGGGCACACAAAACGCATCGGCATGGCGGTGAGACAGGAGGCGTTAGCTGTTGACGAGCGCCAGTTTAAACGCGTTCGCGTATCAAATGGAGAAGCGCCAAGATTCTAGGCAGAAGGCACCGCACTATGTGTATCACATGCATGGTGGAAAATACAGAATTTCCGTTTCAAGTGTACATGCACAGCTGTTTATAGATGTAATGAAATCACTGCTGGTAGCGTGCCCATTTGACAATGCTTTCCAGTAATTCTCACGCAACATCACGTATTTAACCAGAGCGCGCCCTTATCGTGATGAGGTTATTTATTTAGTGTGGTTATACATGCTAACGCAGCATCGCTACTTTGTTATCCTCGCACAATTTGCTCTTTCTCTGCCAAACGTGGTCTTGATTATACGTGAGCTCCGAAGGGGCTACACGAGTGGTTTGTGTTATACTCCTTTCCGAGACAAAACCGACATTATTTTCAACAACAATGTTGCCATGGCTTTTGTGATGAATGCACTTTTCTAAGGCAATTCTGACATGTGGTACAAGGCTCATCTTGAAAAAAAATTGTAATACTAACGGGAACGCGACGATGAGAAATTCCGCATCGCACATGGCCACAAAATATGATGATTTTGTGATTGATGTGCCTGAGCCAGTAACCACAGACACCAATTTCAACATCACCTGTTCCATAAACTCAGCCTCAAGAGAATCGACAAAGCAGGCGAGAGGCAAGGTGTTTCAGGTAAAGTAATATAATCGCAACATCACTTTAAAACAACAGCGCTGGTACTTGAACATAACCTTGCCTGATTAAATCAAATTCATATAAAGTAAAAATGTATTACTCAAATATTTAGCTACGTGCCTGCCTGTCCGTTACCACTATTATTATGTAGTATAACAATCACGTGGATGATAGGCTTCATGCACAACACTCTACAAGGGTCATCATTGAATGAAAACCTATTCTATAAGTACGTGAGTGACTCCAGGCTAAACAAACCGGATGATCATCCAACACTGGACTTTCATTCGATTTCGTGACATTCTAATTGTAAATCAGCAGGTGGACACGGCAGGGACACGGGCCGCAAGGCCAGCCTGCCCGCGCTATCACGAGAGCCCCTGTCTGGCCTCGGAGACTCCGTCGAGTTGAACGGTTTGGGCCCCCCGAGGCCAGGCGCCGGCTGCGCTATGCTCGCGTCGTCGCATATAGTGGCGCGTGAGCGGAACCGGTGCTCCCCAACTGTGGGGCCCCTGCCCCAACACCCACACGCCCTGCGCACCACCACGGTCGAACACATCTCTCCAACATTCCTCCTTTATGAGAAACCTGCCTAATGTGAATCAGATGGATGGAAGAACAAAATTACAACAATTACCGCATGTCTTTCTATTCAACGGCCTCGCAGTATTTTTATTGGCGAGCAGACCTCGATTGGGCCCTCTGAGCCCTAGGCATTTCCACCGACTTTTTAGGAATCTTCAGAAACTGTGTTATAAAGCACATTTACAAGGAGATATTTAGAGCAGCAGTTGGCTCACTACCAACACTGCCAGAATGAAGAAAAAGGGATTTATTGTATCACTGGGCTCTCAAGAGGTTAAATAAAGGCAACAAAATACTACAATGAAACTCCTTTTGCACACAAGGCTTCTCAAAAGTGCTTAAAGGTAGGCAATCGGAACAACTTATGTGCGCTTGATGCAAAGGCTCGTGTACCACTGAGCATCCCTGTCCCGCCGCAGTCGCACGAGGCGATGGCTCTGTGCTCCATGAATTGATGGTGGGGGGGAGGGGGGAGGAGCTGTTCAGACTCCTGCCACGGATGGGGCAGCAGCAAGGAGGAGGGGAGAATTTTAGTGCGCTGAGGAAAGCGGACCCACCACGTCGGAGCTTCCGCTGCCAGAGCAGGCCGCGCCCGGCAGCCCCAACCACGTGGCCCTCTCTGGCCCGGCCGCCCAGCCTCGCACAGCCGCCGCTTTGTGCCCGCGTCAGCTCACATTTTATTAATTATGCCAAGAAGTGGCAGCGGCGCGCACAGCCACGGGGACCGGCAGCACCAAACTCCGCTCCGGCAGAAAACCACAGCAAATGAACAGCTGGCCCGAAATGTTAATTATTTATTTAACGGACAGAGCATCCGGGCCATCTGCCGTACTACAATTGTTTCCCGTCCATCTCACAATTCATTTGCGGGTTTTTTTTTCTTGATCTCTCTCTCTCTCCTCCCCCCACAATTTGGCAGCCTTCTTTTCTGCTGGTGGCAACGCAGTGTCCCGTGCAGCTGTCATCCTCCTCCGACAGTTACCTCCTGACCCAGCAACCGCATTTGTAGATGAGTGCTCAACAGCAGGTCCATTGAGCACAGAGTGCTCTAACAGCTGTTCATTCAATTGTCCAGCTTAGGAGTTGACCACAAAGACAAGTTTTAATACCAATTCGAAAGGCTGTAAAAATGAACCCAACAACTGAACAGAAAAGCAGCTTCTCCGACACAAGCAATTGAATGCATTAATAAGTAATCAACCCCTATCTATATTTTATATCTCAAGCCAACTTTAATTGTAGTCTTGCTGCCAATTAATTGTCAAATTCATGAGCACGTGCCATTTAAGTTCACAGCTGTCAACTGGTACAACAATGCAGCGATGGTGCACTGAAGTGAAACTCCCCACGTTTGGATGCGCACTCTTAGGGGGCATCACATCTATTATAAAAGCCCGGCGTTCCGTTTGTCCGTCAACTAAATTATAATAACATTTCAGAAGGCCTGAAAGAAAAAGTTTTAGATATTGGACCGCCCCCCCTCCCCCCCCAGAAGAGGGGGTAAAAAGTTGATTCAACAGGTTTACAAAAAAAAATAAGTTCACCCCCCTCCCCCCACAAAATGATTTTCACTCCCCCACCCCCCCTCCTCCCCAAAATAAATGTATTTTGTAGGCAAATATGACAACACACCCTACATAAAATAGTCAGTAGTATCTGCACACATTGGGGGGGGGGGGAGAAGAGGACATCAGTGGGGGCAATAGGCAAGGCGCCAAGCGCCAAGAAGCCAACCGCAGGAGCTTGAATAAGGCCGTAGGCCGCTGAAATTGTAGTCAATAGAAAGTGACGAATACGGGACTTCGTGTACAACCAGCCTGGAGCAGCAGCCGAGGAAAACTTTTACACTGGACCAATGGCCGAGGAGAACCGAGAACGCAGGCAGATGCACATCCCCTTCGTTGCTGCTATCAGAGTGTGGGAACCAATGAGTCCTGCATATTCATGTGGTGCTAAGCTTCGAGAGAGCTGGTGGGAGAAGGAGGAGCGACGAGCCGTGGCTGCAGCGAGCGACTTCTCGATCACAAAACCGCTTATCGGCAGCGTGTGAGCCAGGTGCGAGCTGTAAACTTTTATGTCACAAGACCACCGGTGGTTTTGTCACACCTGAAAGTGGGAAAATGGGGTGTGGGGCCTGGGAGCAGGAGACGCGTTTCCCTTCCACCAGTCCCAATATGACTCTTTTACCGTACTCTCGTTAATAAATACGACTTCAAAAGAGGGGTGCACTGACACCTTACATTTTCGCAAAGAAGCCCCTCTATAATACCCATGATCCCAGAGGAACTGTAAGATAACAGAAGATTTTCGTCAGCGCTTCTTTATGGAGGACACGTTATATTCACAATTTTCCTTCCTAATTATTCAATGAATTTTTACCACTCTGGGTTGTGATTTGATTCAACTCTCATTTTTAATAACGTGGTGCATGCAGTGGCCACTTGTGGCTAGAAAGGTTACGTCAATCCACTGTATGCAATATATGTAAGGTTATAGATATTATGCGATGCGCGCCTTAAGAATCGACGTAAACATTTTTATTGATGCAGCCCTAATACTGAAATGTAATATTTAAAACAGGCATCCAAATTGGTAGAATGACATCTCTCTTTTCTTTGGTAAAGTTTGAAGGGCGTTATTGCTTTTAACATAATTTGACAAGAGACAACGCCGCTTGGTATAGTATAGTGTCCTCGGTGTTTTAAACCTCTACTCCAATGCAATTGCAGCATCTCAACCTGTTCTCAATTCCTTCATGCAAGGCCCATATATACCTTCAGAACAATGCCACTGCAAACACAGGTACCACCCCACTGCAAGCATGTGCGACCAAAGTCGGTGTGAAAGGAAACACATACAATAGACTGCTTTGTCCTGCGGAGTGATTTTATGGCGTTCAAGATAACACCAAAAAAAGTTAAAATCGGAAAATAAACACACACTTTACACCCACTGATAAAATTCATTGGCCCATTGTACTGATGTATTCCAGTGGGGGAGGAGGGAGAGTCGTAAACAGATGTACATGAAAAAAGAGCATGTTCAGTTGCTAAAGTAAGCACACGCACACAAAGCCACTGCACAGTCTTACATGTGGGGCAGCCAGTGCATAACCTTACAGCATTTTTCTTATCAAAAGTCAAAGTGATTTCCTGCTCAAAATATCATTGAGCCAGTGTTTATCACTTGCTTACATCCCTGAGCCAGTTGTGGAGATTCCATAGTCATATGGGCGCGACAGAGTCTCTCACTGTTGACCTCCATCATTTTCTTGACCCCGAAGGGATGATGGGCTGAGTCAACACTTAACCAGGATTTGAACTTGAAACCTCTTGATTGGGGGCTTCTCACTCTACCACTGAGACACCTGGCACAATTTCATATAAAGTCCCTTATTGAACATCTTCACCAAGGGATAGATTAAGAAGAGATAAAAATTGCATTTTTTTAAATGACCTTCAAGCAACATGTTACTTACTGGCAATGATGATGATAACACGTTAATATTTAAGTTTTATTTTGCCAACCAAATGATGCATTTTTGCAAAAGTCAACAAGTGCCACAGCTATTTCACACCGGCACGACTCCCATTATCACTCTCAACACACGCTGCAAAAAACATATTTACAATTATTCGCAACTCTACAATTACTGTAGCCGAGGAAGCTCGAATCTGCATCAGTGTCCAATCACAGAGCAGATATGGGCAGACAACTGTAAGAGAGCTCTAGCGAGGCGTGCGTGCCACACGCAGCAAAGAAGAACTACCCACGGCGATCGCCGATGGCGAACCGTCAAGGGGGAACCCGAGTGTTGTGGTGTAAGCACGGCTTTCTGGCCGTCACAGGTGCAGGAAAAGGCATTCGAATTTCTTCATAAGCAACGCGACCCTTCGTGTTGGAGAACAGTCCACGGGGCTCTCGGAGGTTTTTACCTTTATCTTGTCGGCGGGGAGGCCGGGCGCGGGCGCCTTCTCCAGGTAGGTGGACAGGTCCTGGTCCACGTGCTCGAAGACGAGCGTGAGCCTCGTCTCGCGGTCGGTGCGGGACGTGGCGCAGACGTCAAACAGCCTGGACACAAGGGCACAAGTCGTATGTTTAACTGGGTGAGCATTCAAGATACCATGAAAGTCTCGTTTGGGTCACTTCAATGACAAAAGCATAACAAATAAAATTAAATACAGCAATGAAGCCAACATAAATCAAGAGGAAAAAAACTGCGCCATATGAGTAATACAAAAACCCCATAAATCTATGATGAATAAGAACTTAATTTTAACATAAGTCGGCTCCAGCAGATAATGTTTTTTTTTTATCTATGGGACCCTTTTTGCCGGTATCAAGATAATGAAAAAATAGGCTTTACCCTTTCCGGTAGATAATAAAGGTGTTAAGATATTCAAACATCAAATAGACACCTATTGCAAGGCATGAAGTCTGAATTAACCACACGTGTGTCATAAAACATGCAAAGAAACATGCTATGATAATGTATGCATTGTCCTTGAAATTGACTGACCTACACTAGAGACTTTTCTTTTCCTTTATGGCCTTGTCTCACCAGTGTTAGGCCAGAGAACACGAAAGCCGCACAAAGCAATGAAAATACATTATCGAAGCATGTTTTATGAAATGGCAGGACAGTAGGTGGGTTTTTAAAACAGTCTGTGTTTTAAAAATAGTCCTGAGACTCGGTAGAGATTTCTTAGACAAATAAAAATATAAAAGTTTCTTGAGACCTATTGAGGGTTTTTTTCTGGATAAACAATGGACATTGTCTTATTAAGTAATATCTGTGTATATATACAGATGCACTGGAAACATGTGCCACAAGCACATTCCTTTTGTGTAATTGTAACCAACATTCACGACCACTACATATTACAATGAAGCTATAATTATTTAATTTTTTAAGTGTAATTTCCCTCAAATTTTGTCCAGACTGTGCTATCGGTTTCACTTCAAAAGGTGAAGAGGCCATTCGAATCTCTCACAGAGCAGTGCAACCCTTGATGTTTAAGAACGACCCACGGAAGCGGATGTCACCGAGCTACCTCTGAGATCCCTTCAAGTGGTCTCCGGTCCAATCACTGATTATTTAATGCTTCACAAGCCACTGACTGGCGCGGGTTAAACAGCACAACTATTTGTGAAGCTGCGATTTAAAGCTTTCGTGACTGCAGGGATTCATCTTCTTGGTTCTTTCGGTAAAGTCACGTAGAAGGGAAATAATAAAATAATAAAAATAAAACATAATAAAATAATTCTCACGACGTTCCGGCCACAACGCAAGCAGCCGTCCTCAGGTGGAGAACAGGCCTGTCGGAAAGACAGCGTCTGAATGACAGACAGACCTGTTCTTCACCTGAGGACGGCTGCTTGCGTTGTGGCCGAAACGTCGTGAAAATTATTTTATTATGTTTTATTTTTATTATTTTATTATTTCCCTTCTACGTGACTTTACCGAAAGAACCAAGAAGATATTTGTGAAGCGTTTATGGACACAGGCACAACAGAGCTGGCTGCTAACTCCTCATCCTACCAGGCTGGCGTAAGCCATCGCTCGGGGCCTAACTGCAGCAGGTCTTCCAGTGGAAAAAATCTCTGCGAGGAGGCGCAACAAAGACGCTGCGGAGAGAACCTGCTCGCATGGACGCACACACACACGCATGCACTCTTGGCTTTTGTATATTTCTCCACCATCCTGGCGACCAGGCTGAGCTGAGCGTGCCGGTCATGGATTATCAACAGCTCCGCTTTGATCTGACTCTCCAGCTCACCCGGACATGGAGTGCAGGAGTAGGGCTCGAGGGGGTAGAAGACACCTACAGAAGGGGCTCTTTATCTGCCTGGTTACTCCTGGCAGGCCTGGTGTGGTCGCCCACAGAGATCGCATGTAAGAGATTGAGATATCAGCAAACACATGCCACTTGTTTTTTTTCTAGGAGGGGGGGAGGCAGACCCTAATCATTCATTCAACCGCAAAAACAATAGCAGGGTCTGGCCCCTGCTCGCTGCTTCACACCGACTCCTATGGGGCCTCTGTTAGGAACCCTTGCCAGGAGCAAGGGTGCTGCACCATTTGCAACGTAGCAACAGAGATGACCCACGGTCAACAGCCATCAGCTGCAAGCAATTCAGAGGTCACCCCAGTGGCTTTGCATTTCAGTTGCTAAAATTAGCCCTGTATATACAACCTCTGAAGCAGGCATGTTTGGTATTGTCTCAGTATACAATGGTGCTACACTGTGCCAACAAAACATAGATACTGAAGTCTCAATATATGAGTCAATGGCTGGCACTCGTGTGGTTTCCTATGAATGTTATTTAAAATTGGTTATTTAATAATGTAATAGACAATTCTTATCGTATAGATGAAATGGATACACCTACACTTGTACTTTTTGTGGAAAATTAAAACAACCACAATTTTTTGGGGGGGGGAAATCCCTTCATTGCAAATGATATATATCGTGCAGTCACTCATGCACGTAGGAACATTGGTATCTTTGCTACAATACACACATTGGTACATTCCACGATATTAGATTAATCTAACTAGAATATCAGTGTAGAATGAATAAATCGTAGTGTCAAAGATGGAAAAAGTGAGGGCAGGGAGAGCAACATGAGATAAGCGTCATTGCCTGGGAGGCAGGGTTCACCCAAAAAGACACGCGCCGGTGAAGAGCTGAGCACACGCGGGGAAGGAATGGCATTTCAGGATGGAGGGAAGATGGTCGTCTCTTCAAAGGTTAACAGCTCGGGTTGTTGAGGTCATTGGAGGTGGATAAAGGGTCACGTACAAAGCGTTGGGGGGTGGGGGGGGGTAGCGGATGACACGGCATCCTGCTTAGGGACTGAGGAGCCGCCCCACACACAGCTCAGCCTCCTCCTGCCCGGTGGCAAAAGTTGTGCAGGTCACACGAGTATTTGGCTGCTATAAATTTCCACGTAATAAGCCACTTCATTAGGCTATCATTTGTGGCCAGGTCGCTACTGAAAAAAAGAGCTACAATATATCGCTCAGCGGCCCTCATCTGGTAAAATAATAATAGTTTTAGTTTAGCTTAGAGTGGGCAAAAGAGATGACAGGGCAGCTTCTGGGGTGAGACCAGTAGGACGGGAAGAGGCTGGAATCCAGCAAGAAGGGGCAGGTGGCCGAATACGGCCACACGTTGGTGCTGGGATCAACTTTGCACCGCCCTGTGCTCAGTCGCCTGCGTTAAGACTTGTGGAAACCCGGCAGGAACTGAAGACTGTTGGTGTAGTTAGCAGTGGTAGTGTGCAGAGCAAATGTAAAAATGTTTTGTTTTTCTGCTCAACGATAATTGTAAACGTCTACAACCAGGTGACAGCCCTTGGATAGAAGACCATTGAGAAGGAGACCAGGCCAGATGGGAATGTGGCAACGAAAGCGGAGGTCCCGTGGCTGGTACAGTGTGGCAGACACAGGAAATCAGACGGTAAAAGCTGAGCTTATGACCAGACACATGCACTCATGCATACGTGTGGGAGCATACACACACTGGTGCATGCAAAAACAGACACGCTCAGACAAAGCTCCAGACATTTGCAGTGAACCAGCTGACAAGGCACAGCGAGTGAAGGGACAAACCAGTGAGATGCACGGCAAGTTCAAATTAAACGGGAGGTGGACTGGACCACTTGGAGTGGTGAGCATTGGAGATGGCACAGGGGCCCCAAGGAAGCGGGGTGGGGGGGTCGTTCCGCACACACGGGAAATGGGCCGTATTCAGCGGTGTTGGTGGCAGCGGTGAGCTACGGGGAAGCTGTTAAAAGAGGTGCGCACTTGCACTGGGGCCGCACAGGGACTACGCCAGAGAGGGGCCACGGCAGGGCCGAGCAGTCGGGAGGGCGAGCTGGAGCGAGTAAGCGAGCGGAGCGACAGCGGCAGATGCTTGGCAGAGGCAGCGGCCGCCAACCCCTTGGATGGCCCCCACAGGAGGGGCCAAAGCGGGTTAACTGCCGCCATAGCCTGCAGAGTGCTGGGTGTGAAAAGAAGACCAAATTCAACATTTTCTAATGCGTGAAAAAAAACGGCCTGCAAAAACAATCGGCCAGCTTAAATGAATGGGAGCAAAGGCTTTATTAATCCTGCACTACTCGAAACCTCAAAGCTATAGTTTAGGAAGCACTGCATTGCACACACTGGTCAATGTTCTCACATTTTCTGACTAAATGCACTCGTGTATGGAAGAAAAATAAGCCCTATATATATTTGACGATGCCAGAAATTCCCCTCACAAGCGAGCGGGTGAGCAAACCCTCAAGTGTAAAACACTGCAACCTGCACTCGTTGGATTGCTCCAGATGACACACGCGGGGCGCACACAAACCCCTTCCTGAGCAGACACATTCCCGAGAACAATCGCTTATCACTGGCGCTCAGCAGTCTCGCCGCCACCGACCACTATGCACCCTCGTGCTACTGCTGCTGCTGCTGTCAAGCACTCCACGCCATAAGCAGTGGCTGCAAGCTCAAGCCAAAGTGTCAATCCTCTCCACGACCAGTAATGTATATTCCGCATTTCCATGGCAAGGACCAGTCTTCTCCATACGACAACAGTCACGCTAGAAAAGTATTATAGAACTGTACATCCATTACAGTTCAACAGTAATTTGAAGCCCGACCAATCGATCAACTTATCTTGTATAATTAAAGGCCGTGTTATCATGCGATTAAATATGGAGGCAAATAGACGTATCTCTACTGGGGAAGTACTTTGTCCCTGAAGATACATCCTGGATGCAAAACAAAACCACATTTAGTTTTCACTTCGTTTTCTCTATTACCAACTGGAATTTGTACTGCGTGGTGCAGAACCGTAGGCCCAGAAGACCTGGCAAGTGTTGCCGTGCAGAGGCGACGCAAATGTCCGTGGAGACATTATGAGGGTGGCAGTGCATGTGTCAGTGTGCAGCAGCAGCTAGAAGCAGTAGCAATAAGTAGCGTGCCCCTTGGTCCCCATGCTGTTGCGAGCATCACATCCATGGGAGAGAGGGAGCAGTGGCACCGTCACCGTGCTCCGCTAATCACAGTGCGGCTT